GCTGGAGGCGAATACTTGCACAGCTGTGTGTCTACCGCCGTGTGCTGTTCATCGTGATGGACACAGTGCAAGTTTTTGGCACCATTAAGACCAAGTTCCAGGTAGTACCACAGATGAAAATGCCCGACAGCCACTGGGTGCAAGGCGAGTTCAGTAGTGAAAAGGCGCCCGTGCCCCTCGCAAAGCATCTGAGAAGCACGACAGCATGCATCATGGCCACGCAAAGACCAGAAAATCATGTCAACATGCAAACACCACAATTCTTAGCAGGCGTTTGACGGAAGGATGACGACAGAAGCAGAACAGCCAAACGATAGCTAAAATATGTTATGTTAAATTACATTACATGACAGTATAGTATATTATANNTATATTACATTATACTATATTACATTGGAACAGCATGAAGGAGCTCCAGAAGCTCATCAGCGAGAGTGGATTGGCCGTGGTCGACCACTCTGAGGTCACAAGCTTACAGTAATGACCTTAAGGCCTTAAGGACATTCCTGGCTCGAATCTGGGTTCCAGATAATATGGGGGGTTTCCGAAAATAGGGGGACCCTAATATAGTACCCCAAATAGTAGGATCCTTATTTTAAGGACCCCAATATAAGGTACCCCTAAATTGTCGGAAAGTCCCATATTCTGCGGATGTAGGGCATGGGTGGTCTGACTCAGGTTCCAAAATTTCAGACATCCCCGAGTCGAGGGATGATGGAAACACGGAGATCAGTAGCAACTGCCCACCGGTAATCCTTGGATTCCACTTCGAACCTGCCGCCGCAGTTCATGTCAAGGACTTCGACTTAGAGCTATGTCTGTGTGAGAGAGAGATTTGTGGTGGCTTCAGTATACTTGTAGTGTGGTTCGGGTTTAGGGTTTAGGCCTACCGGGAGGCGGTCTCAAAGCGGAGAACATTGAAAAAAAGAGAGGAGAGGTGTTTGGGTGTTAATTTTACCTTCATAGACACGTAGTTTTATTGTTGAAGGCCGAAGCCCCAGCCTCAGATTCCGCATTGGATTTCACCGAAGGCCATCGATGCATATGCCTCGGCTGACGAGGACCCTCATCTTGCATCGCAAAGCTTGTGACAATGCTGCGTTTGTTGGGTGGGAGGTCGGCAGTTGGGATTGGGAGAGGCTCGTTGCTGCTAAACTCCCACCTTGTGCGAGAATGAGTGTCAAAACGCAAGCCCTAAGCTCTGAATGGAGCCAGAGGGTCATCTGCTTTGGGAATTGGGAATCTCAGGGGTGCATACGCTGGCATCTGATCCTCCCACCAATGCTGTCAAACCCTGCATGGAACAAGCGGGGTCGGGCCGGGTTGGGATAATTGTTCCGCCAAGAGAGGAACATACTTGAGATACTTGCTGAATTGGAAAGCACTGGGCACTCGGGCCAACTGAATGAACCTGCAAGGAGTCCAGCCATATGAAGCTCCATGCACTCCAGGCCGCGGGCGACTGCATCCCTACCGGCGGGTCTTCACGAAACATAGGAGGTGAAAGGTGCTGTTGGTAGGGATCCTACTGCTCCGGTTCTGTATGCTGAGTCCTTCAGGGAGCGTCGAAGAATGAAAGCCTCCCCTCCGAGGTCCCAGAAGACCCCAAAGCCCTCAATCACGGAACTCTTGCTCAAGCCTTTTTTCCACGATTTTTCGGCAGTTTAGGTGATATTCCGTAAGTGACGGCTTTGAGTTAGATTGCGATCACCTGAAGGCCCTGGGCAACGTTTCCATCGGCGTGCAGCGACTGCGAGCATTTGCTGAGCTCAACTACGCGGCCCTCTGTTCCGCACACGACCTCCTTTGGGGATTTTGCCGGGAATCGCAGAGCCCACATGCTTCCTTTGCCTTGCTCGAAGACAAACCTGCCCCAATTCACAGTGCGTGTATTTTTCCATCTATCGGAGCCATGCATTCCATGTTTCGGATCGTGTGGCGGTGACATGTTCGGCTTCGCTTCTTTTCTAGCACCGCGGAAGAGTTGCTGCAGACTAGACCGGCAACAAACCAAGGCTCTCTACAAAATCCTGAAGATGCTGGCCTTGAATCGTTTGGGAGGTGAAAGATTGTGATTCTGGTGCCGGTTGATGCATTGACGTTTTGCTGGGCTGGGACACCAGTGCGAGCTGGGAAGGCATCACACAGGTCAAAGCACCTCAACAAACCATCTAAGACACCTTTAGCCGAACTTTAGCTGAGAGCCGAGCCAGATACAGGTCTTTTGATCTTGGCATTTTGGCCCTGCTTCGTAGGACTTTGCACTCTTACCAGTGAAGAGTTTGAGGGTTTTTGTTTTTGGGTCTCCCCGCTCGTTCTCTACCATATCCCCCTGCATGACCCGAACCCAGGGGTTCAAGCCTGTTCTTGCTTGAGGAAGCATGACAAGCTTCTGAAGACGAAATTCGGCTTGGAGCAGCTCTTCCCACGTTTGGTCAAGGCGACTGTGGAGCCCATCACATGAGCCTCTGCAGTACGACAGGTCTGATAAGCTGTCGCAATAAGTACAGGAAAGGAATGATCACACTATTGGCCAACACTATTCGCGTGAAGGTTCACGTCCACGTAGCTACCATGATGTTGCCGTGTGCTTTCAGAGAAACCCCGAGAACAAACAGTCTACTGCTGAGCGTCTGAAGCCGCCCTAAATGCACGGAGAGCCTCCGAGAGCTGGGCAGGAGACGAACCTTAGCGAGTATAGCCGCCTGCAAGTGTTGAACGACGAGGTGAAGGAGCTCTCCATGAAATGCCGGCACCTGAGAATTGTTCATGGGAGCCGAGGCTCAGGAATCGAAAACGGCCAGAGAAGAAAAGGTGGCCGCCGACAACTCCTGTAGCCACCCTTGTGAAGCAGTAGGCTGAGGGGTATTCGAAGCGAGGTGGCTCCTACTGCGCCGACTGCGGTCGCAAACCCCTTTTTGGTTTCACCAAACTTAAGGCGAAATACTTGTCAAATTGGAGGGACCGTGCGCCTCTGCTCGGACATCCTTTGTTTGACTATGACTTCTCTTTTCTGCACTCACTATTCGAACATTCGGTGTGAAGGTTCTTCTTCAACACCGTGCATTTGCGGAACGCCGGATCTTCTCCGAAGCCAAGAGGCCGTACCCTCTCCATCTCGCGCGCACGCGCCCTCCGATCCGTTTTGCCCCGACTCCCAAAGCCCCCTTTGGGCCGCAGTATCAGGATCCCCGACCGTCACCCAGAGAGCCCAATACCCCCTTATTTAAGGAAATATACCTTAAATCATAATATTAAGGCCCCCATAATGTAAGGTATATTCCTTAACTTAAATTAAGGAGTAATTTGGCTCTCTGGGCATGTAATCCATGCAGGATTCTCAGAGGACCCTGAGATGCAGTCTCAAATAGTCTCATGCTTAATCTAAGGACGCTTGCAACTACCGACTCCGTTGAAGCTTTTGAGAGACCTCTTTTCCGGAGTGGCCGAAGTCCCTTCGCGTGCTTTGTGAGCTGAGGTTCTCAAACCTCAGCGCCTCGCCTGTAATGTACTATGGGGGGGCCGAAATGGGCAGTTCTCTACACTAGGGGCCCTGCTTAAGTCCTCAATTTAGTACGGCACCCTTATGAAAAGGACCCTAAATAGGGGACCCTAATTTAGACAACTATCCAAATAGCTACCAATACTATGTTGGTGGTTCCATGTTGTCGTAGTATCATAATCCCCAAGACCCTATTCCAGTTATTGGGGCCCTTTCTCTAGGGCCCCCCTAAGCTAAGCCTTAGGAGGCTCTCTGGCCGGTTTATGGAGAAGTCGATATAGGGCCTTTCATGGTGTGTTCGGCTTTAGTTTCCGGGCATGGTGATTTGCAGAAAGGCTTGGAAAGCTGTTATCAAGCTTCTAGGGTACCGGGGTGTATTTTTTGGTGGAGTTGCAACTATATGCCCGAAAAAGGAGCATGCAGACCCTCTATACTACAGAAGCTAATTTAAGGTTGAGAGTCTTCGGGCGCACGAGGAAAGTCTGGCAGTTTGCTGTACAGGCCATTCGAATTGAGTTGTGCCGGGTGTTCTTCTTGAGGGTGAATTACTGTTGTGAGGGATTCTTGGAATTCGGGTGCTTTTTGTTGGTGATTAAGGTTGGGGTCTTGGGGTTCGGGATTTGGGTGTGGTGTTTTGCCGGGGGTTATTGTCCTTGTTGGAGTCCCGCATTTTCTGGAACACTCCCATGCATGGGTCTGAAAGTCTTCTTCAGGGTACTGGGCTGGGGGTTGTCCTAATTATCGGGCTCATTTACCCTGAGGCCGAATTCTTTAAAATGTTCTAGGGCGCTGGCCACCGAAAGCAGTGGCCTGAAGGATGCGAGTAGGGAGGCTACTCCTGAGGGAGCCTTTTTTGCTGAAACTCCTGAATTGGTTTCTGCCTTCTCTGGTTCAGTTGCTGTCGCGGCCTTGTCGATGCTTCTGAGATTTTGCCCGGACTGGAGCACAAGGTTGTCCATTACCCTATGAAGCCCTATGAAACCCCACAAAGTTTCAAAAGCTCTCTTTGCACCAAGGAATCTCACTAAATCCTAAACCTTAAACCCTAAACCAAGGAAGCCTTATGAAACCCCCTAAAATTAAAAGCGCTGTTTGCACCAAGGAATCTCCTGAAGTTGCGTGCCTGATCCATGGCTTGGGTCGCACGGGCCGGGACATGACCTTGGCTGGGCCCTTACGGCCTTCCGGAACCCAAGACCTAGATATGGCCCAAGTTGCTTTTAATTAAAAAGCACCTTTGTTTTAAACAAATACAGTTTTTAATTAAAAGCAGACTTTGAAAAGAAGACATGTTGAAGGCCCTAGTGATACGGTATGCTTGAAGGCGTCTGTTGAGAGGAAAACTGGGCTCTCAAGCACGAATCCAATTGGCCTGAACCCTAAAGCAATGGAGAACCTGCATCCTGCAGCAGCCGGAGGAGTAGCAGCAGTGGTGGTAGTACGACTAGCAGCAGCAGCAGCAGTAGTAGTCGTCGTCGTCGTCGTCGTAGTCGTGGTGGTGGCGGTGGTGAATTGCACACTTCGCACCGATCCACAGATCAGTAGGAGCAGGAGCAGCGGCAGCCCTCTGACCGAATTGACGTCGTGCGAAGGTTCATCTCGTACCCTTACACCCTAGACCCAGCTCCTCCCGTTCAAGTTCCGACTCGTGTTGGCGAGACGATCGAGGGGCACCAGCATCCCTGGGCATGCGAATTACCGCTTGTGTCCAAAGCAAACTCTCTCTGTTCTCCGCTTACAGCCTCAAAGCCAAAGGGTGGCACAAGTAGCCGGAGAGCCCGAAAGCCCCTTAACTAGGAAACATACTCCCCTCTGTGAGAAACATGCCTTCTCAGAATAGTGTCGCGATAGCAAACCCTACAAGGTTTCGGTTATGTTCGTCAAACTTGGCACGTACAGTTCTCTGATCAGCTACAGCTGAGGTCAACCCAATCTCGCACCGAAGTGGCTTGGCCTTTCGTCCGTCGTCGTCCTAGTAGCAATGTTGACACCGGGAAAAACGCACAAAAGAGTAGAAATCAATCACCACTTCTCCTGGCCCCACCCCAAACACACCTACTGCAAGATTTATCTAAAAGAGACCTGAGAGTTGATGTCAAAGGGCTCATGTAGAAGGCCACAAACACTGCTCCGCCAATTCTACACGCTTGTGGTTTGCAGGATCGTGATTTGTGTGGCGCAGCCTTGCCTCGGATGCCTGTAAGCCTCCTCGTCTTATGAGTGCTGATACTTCGCACTACAGCAACTGCTCAAGTTCAAGGTCCTTGAAACCCTAAATCCTAAACCCTAAACCCTAAATCCCTAAATCCCTAAACCCTAAACCCCTTGAAGCAGGTAGATGGAGATTCCCTCGGCCTGTGCATGCAAGGGTCGCAGGTTTGCGCATCTCCTTGCTGTTGGGGCCAAGGGGTCTACGAAACCATCCGAAGCTTCAACAAATCTGGCCTCCACAGCTGTAGCGTCCCGAACCCTCTACGCATTATGGTGTGCTCAGGTGAGCTGGTTTTAAGCTTTTTCCTGGGAAGCTCCTTGGCCTTGTTCTTGGCCATCGGCGTGCTGCTGGCCCTCCCTGAAAAGAGCCCGGCAGCCCAGTGAGTGTTCGGAGCACCTAGACTAAGACGTGCCACCCTTCCTTTGCTCTGTGGTTTTGGACGACCATAATTTCTTCATTTGGGCTTTGCGGTTTTGGTCTCCATGTGTAGCTTCTTGAGATCCTCTTGGTAGTTTTCTTAGAGGGGAAGCCAAGACTGACATGCTTCCATCACATGCACAGGTCTCTAGAGGAACTCGTCCCCTGTCAATCGATAAAGATGCAGCAAGTTGAAGAAACTCCATAATTCAGTTTCTTCTGCCGAGATGGAAGGTCTCTTTCAAGTGAACCTGGGACATGTGCTCAGCACCCTGAACGAAATTGAAGGCGTTTGCTTCCGGCCACACTGCGGAAGGTTGGAGATCATGGCCTAAGGAGGGGTGTAACAGAAACGAAGTGCCCATCATATCAAACAACCATCGCCTTTTGCTGACCTTGTGCCCAACAGTCTTGATATCCAAAGTCGCTCGTGTGCTGGTCAAGTGTGCGTATCCGTCAGGAACCTCGGGGGCACTAACGGTTCCCTAGCCGGTAAATAAACCTTGCTGAAGATGCGTGACGACTTGCCAGAGCTAACCACCCTGCAAGGTGTGTGCGAAGTAGGAGGCCAAAAAGATTGCGCCCAAATCCCAAAAACCTCAGGCCCTGCCAGAGCCCTTAAACGGAGAGCCCCTAAAGCCTGCACTCAAAGCCCAGAGAATGCGCCCTGCTCCCAGAAGCCGAAGCCAAGCTGCAGGCCCGAAGACCTTCTCCGAGGCCATGGGTCTACGATGGCTTCAGAAAGTATAAGATAGGGGGCTTTGGGGGCTTTGGGGGTTTAGGCTTAGGGTTTAGGGTTTTAAGGTTTAGGGTTTTGGGTTGGGGATTCGGGTTTATGGAATGCAGACTATGAAGTACGCGTTTACGAGGTTGTTGCACTTCCAGAACTACGTTAGTACTTATCTGAATATGACGAGCCCATATTCTGGCTTCGGTGTGTGTTTGTATGGCTCCTTGGGCATATTGCTAGTTATCAGGGGACACCAGCAGTGGAACCGTTAAGGCGGAAGGCATAGGCTTGAAGGCTCGAGTGAGCTCTGTATCCCGCCAGGCGTATTTCTTGACGCCCATCCCCGTCTTCCGGGTTGCGGCCAGGCTGAGATAGGAAGGGACTGGGCCCATGGAGGTCGCAACACCACATGTCTGACACCTCAGAATCTCGGCACACTGTCATGAGTTTCTTCGCACGAGCAAAGAAGGACCTCTTCAGGCAGCTCGATGCAAGGTGCTGGGAAGGGAGGAATTTTGGCGTTTTGCATAAACCCAATTCCGATCCTGCATTATTCTGGAGCAAGGTGTTTTCCTACCTCTTGATCCTGTGGTGCATGGGTGCTGTGGCGAAGATTTGCGACCAGCGACTCGGATCTGACTCTCACTGCGCTCGCATCGCGTTGTCTTTTAGGATAAAATGTCTACCGGTTTCCGGGGGGCTGCAGGGCTTCAATGTACCAGAGGAATATACTAACTAGAATATACCTGAAATTATAGGGGCCCTAATATTATGATTTAAGGTATATTCCTTAATTATATAAGGTGCTGAAGTCAAGCTGAAGCCCTTAAGAGCCGGTTGCCCCGGTGCGTCGTTGCCCCACCTTGCACCCTTTCTGTGGGTGATGAGGCGGGCATCGGGTGGGCAGAACACACCTTCGCATGGTCCACATACCCGACTTCTTTAGGTTATGACGCCCAATGGCCTAAGCACGAACAGGCGTGTGAAAAAGCTATGCGCTGCAAAGATGCGCTTCCGCTATACCATGCCAGGTCATATCTTGCTGCTTGGAGGACTTCGTCAGACCAGCACGCCACCGCAATTGCAATGGTGCTGCGATGGGCCTGGAGGATGGAGGGGGGCTGCGATGGCGACGGCACCATTTTCCAGGAGACACGGGACATTGGTTGTAAGGGAAGGCTGCCCTGGCGGAGGAAGGTGAGGTAGCCGAAAGGCAGAAATCGTCTTCAAGCGTGTAAGCGGTCCTTGGTGCAGTGTAGTGTACGGGCGCGCTCTCGTTTGAGTGATGCCAGATGCTTGGGTCAACGCCCGAGTGGACGGCGAATCTTGGACAGAGTTTGCGTAGCCGGCCCACTGCCGGGGACAGGGGGGATTTCAAGCAGCTGCTGCGACGTTACAGCAGGCATGGCCCCGATCCCCACCTCCCGGAAGGGATGGACAGTTTCAGAAAGCGCCCAGCTACCTGTCGGATAGCAAGCCGAGGGGGG